GAACTTGCTTTGAACCCTAGGTCTATTGCTTCTAAAGCAAGCGCTCTAACCACTGCACAGCGGTTGCTGTATAATTATTTTTTATACACTAAAGTTATTACTTTTTAGCTTGTAATTAACCATAATTTAAAACTTGACATAGAACAAGTGAAGCCAAGTAAATTTTAATTTATTAAAAAAATATTCGCTTACAAAAGACAATTTGCGTCAAAACAAAAAATCTAAAAATTTAGCAATAATAAAAATTTAAGTTATGAAATCTTTACAACTCTTAATGTTTTTGAAAGAACGATTTTTTATTTTTTACCCAATTAATATTCCCAAGGTTATTGGGTCGCGTTTGTCGAGGACGCTACTTCTTATTTTGGTTACAACCCTCTCTCAACTCTGAAAAAGGGTTGTAACTAATAGAAACAAGTTGATATACATAAAACATATAATACATTTTATAATACTTCTTTATAAATTGAAAAAAACTTTATAGCTTTCGAATTTAACTGAAAGTTAAATAAAAATTTGAAATTATTACCGAATTTAACTGAAAGCCGAGTTTTTATTTCAACTTCGGCACCGAAACCAAAGCCGAAATCAACTTCTTCTTTGACTAAACTTCGTAATCCAAATTTTAACGAACATTCGCCGGTCTTTAATACTGCAAGTTTTCTTTTATGTAAAAAAGTAGACCACTGACTCGTTTTTTTGATTTTTGTGCTAGCGGGATTTTTTTAAAGCCTTCCAGGTGGAAATTTAAGTAAGATTTGGGGTCATCAGAGTCACACCAAGTTTCAGTTAAGCATATTATGCTAGTTTCTTTTACAATGTTACATAAGACGTCAAAATTTTTTTCAAGCTTCTTATATTAAGATGAACAACATTAAAATGATCTCGTTCTAGAAATCTTTTGTTTTGTTTTTAAAAAACCTGAACTTTTCTTTCACTTTCTTCCCATATCTCATTTGGATCTTTTTCAATTCCCGTGAATCTTAAATTACTTCGCCTGCTTCGATCTTCTAACTCTGTAAGTTTATCTTCAATGTCACAGTTATTTAGGTTGGTATAATTTTTGTTTAAGCTGTTATTTTGTTTAGCTACTGTGTTTGTTTTCTTTTTTTGTTCTGCAAGTTCGATATTAATGCTACCGTATTTTACACTTATAAATTAAACAATGAACTAGTAAATCTCAACGACTGGTTTAAAGCTAATAGACTCTCTTTAAATAATGATAAGACGAAATACATTTTGTTCACAAAACCCTCAAAAACTGATAACTTACCCCTTAAACTTTCAGATTTACAACATTAAAATAAAAAATGTTCATTCAATGAAAATTTTATGTATATTATTTGATGAACATTTAAATTGGAAAAATCATATTAAATTATTAGAAAACAAAATCTCTTTAGCCTTGGGGATCATGTTCAAAATGAGGCACCTTTTAAATAATATGTGCCTCAAAAATTTATATTTTTCATTTATACATAGCTATATTAGTTATTGTAATATAGCTTGGGCAAGTAATCACTCGTCTTTATTAAAAATAATTTATAGCAAACAAAAACAAGCGACTCGGTTAATTTTTAATGCAGTCAGATATGTACACTCCAAGCCTTTACTAAAAGAAATTAAAGCTCTGAATGTATTCGAACTAAACATTTATCAAAATTTATTGTTTATGTTTAAACTTCACAATAACATGCTTCCATCATATTTTCAGCCACATTTCTCTTTAGTTAATCACAGATACTTAATAAGATATTCTATTGACAATTTTTACATACCATCAACAACTCTTAAAAAATCGGACTACTCTATTACTTGTCGGGGTCCGCGTCTGTGGAACTCAATCCTGAATAATGACATAAAATCTATAGCCTCAATTAAAGCATTTAAAAAAACTGTGAAACAACATTTGTTAAATCTAACCAATAAAAATATTTTTTTGTATTTTTAAGTCGTATTTTTATGTATTTACTAATACGAATATGTATGTTTAACTCAAAAATATGTAATTTTATAATAAACTAATTTTATAATTATAGATTTTACGAACTTAATCATGTAAATAAAGTTAACTATTTTACTATCAAAGGGGCAAGATGATAAGATGTATTGTCTTATGCTTGCTCCTGTCAGAATTGAAAAAATATATTTTATTTTATTTTTATTTTACAAGTACATTGTAAAATTTTCTTTTCTTTTTTGTTCATTGACGAAATAAAAAATTCAATAGTTTTTTTTAATTTGCAAACTTCTTTTTTTAGATTATTGTTTCCTTCTTGCATTTTATCAAATTTGTCATTAAACATTTTTAATAATGTGTTTTCATGAATTTTAAATATATCTCTAATTTGTACCACAGTGTATTTTGCCATTTTTTTTTTCCACTTTTGTTTGTTTCTTGGACCGCTGCTATTTCTAATCTATGTTTACGACCTAAACAAAGTCTCTAACCTGATTATTAGCCTCTAACCTGATATTTATGAAAATGATATCAACCTATTACAACCTCACAGTGATGTTGACAAACTTTTCTCAACAACTAATAATGAACTTAAATACATTTCTAAATGATTCAAATGTAATAAATTAACATTAAATAGTAGCAAAACTAAATGGATTCTTTTTCATTCCATCTCAAATAAACGTTCTCTATCAATTATTATGCCTCAAATTTATATTAATGAAACTGTAATAAAAAGAGATTCTGTTATAAGATTCTGTTATAAGATTCTTAAGTGTTGATGAAAATATTACTCGGAAAACCATATCACGCAAGCACTAAAGTTTCTAATATTTTTGCCATTTTGTATTTAACCCGACCTTACTTGAACAAAAAAAAGCCTTATACAACTCTATTACTCATTTACACACAGATGTATAAATTACGTAAATATTGCAGGGGCTAGTAAAAAAAGTAAACTACAACGTCTATATCACCGTCAGAAATATGCGATTTGCGTAATTAATTATGTGGATCGCTCTTCGCATTCGAAACCTTCCTTTGATCAAATGAAAATACTTGATGTCTACAAACTTAACATCTGTTTTTAAAACCTTTTTACTTTGAAACTTTCTAATAAGTACTCACTAAGAAATAATGATTTGCTAAATGAACAACTTGGTCGAACAAACTTTTTATTAATTATAGTGTACTTTACCTTTGGAATAAAATAGTTTTGTCAATTTTGATCCTTTCATTCAATTTTCTATTTTTAAAAATAAATTAAAAGGTTTTATTCTTGCTATGGATGACATTTTAAATAAACCTTAATTTATGAGATTTATAATAATATTTATATTAATGGATTTATTTTCTTTGATTTATAAAAGATTTATAAAATTTATTATTATGGATTTTTATTATAGATTTAATATTACAGATTATTATTACAGATACATGATTATTAATATGGATTTAATATTACAAATTTATTATTATGGTCATTCTTTACATTTAGATTTTCAGTTTTAAAAGTATTATTTATTGAACTATTTTATTTTTAATATTGTTAAAGTTCTGAAGATAAAATCATTATGATCTTCTTTCAGAAGCTTTGTTTGTTTGCTCTTGTAAAATATAGTATTTATTTGAGGACAAATGTAAACAGAAAGGAAAAAATTCATATTTGAAAAGATCAAGTAATAAATCTGAAAATATTTATTTAAGAGTAGAAGATAGGGGCTTAATGAAAAGATTGTGATGTATGATGACGTATTGTGATCTTTATCTTTTTTAGGCTTTATTAAATAAAGTATTAAATAGGGGTCTGTTTAATGCATTTAAACAGACAGGGGTCTATTTAATTCAATAAAGATCATTCAAAAAAACAGTTTGAATTTTTATATTTAAAAAATAGTGCTTCGTTACAAGTTTATACTTTGTTACAATTTTATACTTTGTTTTACTTTTGATTAAAATTCGAAAATTTTAATCAGAAGGTTAGGAATGATTGATGCATTAATTTGGAGGAACTTGCATAATTCTTGGTTATGCATAATCAAGAATTATGTAAAATGCAAAAGAGACGATCGCATTAAAACGTGAAAAATTTACTCCAAGAAAGTAGTATCAGTTTATTCCAAGAAATCTGTTTAGCCATGGAAGTGACATCCTTTCATAGGTTTCGAATTCATATATAAACTAGAAATCTATGAAAGAATGTCACTTTTATTCATGTTTCAATTAGGACAACTATACGCAGCACAGGAATTTACCATTTTAATGGTAAATTTCTAAGGCCTAGAGGTGGCTTTGAACCAGGGATCTCTAGGCTCTGAGGCAAATGCGTTATTCACTGCGCTACAGTTGCTAAACCATTACAAATTTTGATTCTAAGAATAATGCTATCGATCTTTTTAAATAATAAGAACGGGTTAGCCGGTAACTCAAAACTCTAGCAACTAAAAGTTCAACAAAAATTGAACGTTTCAAAATTTTTTCTTGCAATACCCATAAATAAAAACAACAATAGCAACAAAAAACAAACAAACAAACGCGCTATTCATTTTTTAGGTTCCTGTTATAAAGAAATAACTTCATTTTAAGTATTTTAAATTAAGATATTAAAGAACCATAACGTATGTTTATAACTGGACGTTATATTATATTTACAAGATTCATTTTAATCTCGATTTATACGATACAATAATTGAACGTTATATATTCGATTTATACGATACAATATTTGAACGCTACTAAATTCGATTTATACGATACAATATTTGAACGCTACTATATTCAATTTATACAATACAATATTTGAACGCTACTATATTCGATTTATACGTTAAAATATTTGAACACTACTATATTGGATTCATACGATCAGTATTTGAACGCTACTAAATTCAGAAGTAATCTCTATTATAAGTAACATTCTTTTCAAAACAGTCACAAATAGATTTTAACTTAAAAAAAAAAACTAAAAAATTTAAAAGAATTTCGAAATTAATGTTAGCGTAAAAATCAATATTATTTTATTATATTTAATAAACGCAAATATAAAAATTTCATTTAACTTACAAAAATTAATTTACAAAACAGATTAAAGATTTTAAATAAATAAAATTTCTTAGATTGTTTGCTTATCAGACAAAAAAAGATGGTAGATCGCCAGAAAACGGAGCATGATAAACATTCTTTTGCCTGCTTCTTTTGATAGTACTCGAGTCTTAAACAATGACGTAATTAAGAAATCAAGTCCTAAACTAACCATAAAAGTATAAAATCAATATCATTGGACGAAAATAATAACATTGTTTTTATTTTAATTCTTTTAAAAGATATTTCAAAGTTGCTGTTCATGCTTAACCTTTGTTGAGTGTTGTCTTCGCAATTTGAGGTAGATTTAGGTTGTAGATAAATAGATCCTTTCACCAAACCATTTTACTAAACTATCAACATTTAACCAATTAGTCAGGGGTATCTATCGCTGTTAATGACCCAACTATTTTTGGGGTAACTCTTTTTTTAGAATAGCTCTCAATTTCTTCAATATTAGAATTATCTGAACGATTTGTATCTACAATAGCATCGCTAAATTTGTATGAAACGTTTCCGTATTCTCGTAATAAAGGCAGTCTGCTAAGTAAGACCTCGCAGAAATCTTGGCGCATTCCAAACCACCCTACAAATTAAATTTTAATAAATATCTTATCTATCAAATATCTTATCTATCAAAATCATTTTTATCATTTTAATATTAACTAATGCTAAAATAAAATTAATAAAAAAATTAAATGAAGAAAAAACTTGATAAAGTTTTCAATTAAATTTTAAATTTTTTTACATTTTTAATTTATTCAATAATTAGCGTAGAATAATAGAGTTGCTCATTTTTTATCAATTTTATTTTATTGACGTATGCAGGTTTAAAAGATGGCTACTTATGAGTTATTTAAAAGATGGCTACTTATGAGTTATTTAAAAGTATATTTTTATTAAAAAAAATTATTTTAACCACCTTACGCCAAATTTTAAAATTTAGGCATAAAAACCGCTAAAAAGTCCAGATTTTTGCGCGAAACCTTTATTCTTAAAAAACTTTATGCAAACTCCTAAAGAACATGTTATGAAATATATTCGATTTAAAATATACATCTTATCTCAAAAAACCTGTTAAGAGATAAGACCCTACTTTTAATTAGAAAATATTATGCTAAATTAATAATACTTTAGTTCACCTTCATTCTCACCATTTTAGGATAGAAGAAGTGAAAGACTCAACAATATTCTTGCAGCAATACTTAAGTACTGCATCGTTTAAAAAGTGTGAATATTAATTTTCCTTTAACCACATTTGTACTCAAGTTTCTTATCGTATGTTTTATTTATGAATCGTTCTAAATATTTTTCTCTTGAATTGTTCTTAATGTTTTTTCCTTGAACTGGTATTATGAGTTGTTTATCCTTTTTCTTTATATCGCTACTTTCCCGAATTAATTTAATTTTTCATCCTTTTATTTAGTATAATTTTATAATTATAAGTAAAAACCTGGTAGACAGTGGGAATCTCATTAGAAAATAAAAAGGGTAAAATTTAAATACAAACTACAAAAAAAAGAGAAAGAAGTCGTGTAAAGGAATACTTCTTAGTCGATAAGCCAGCAAAGATGTCCTCGTTTCAACTTTTAATTGAGGCTAATCATTTCAGCTTTCTATCAGACACTTTCTCTACTTGAAGGAAAGGAATGAAAAAAATTTAGAAAAAAATTTTAAGTAACAGCTTTAGATTACTTTAAATATTTCACATTTGAAAATTTTATTAAAACTTAATAATATTTCGAATTGAATAATGTATATTTTTACCATTTCAAGTTTAATCAATGCGTGCTAGAACTTTTATCATCTTGGTGGAAAAAAAAATGAGTAAATTTTTGAGTAACAACAAAAAAATTACTTGTTACAGCGTACTATTGCAGTTTCTGCATTCAGCAAGGAATGTATTCTTGGTGGATTATGGTTTTCGTGGCTAAAATCAGGTTTTAAACCTGTTACTCTGCTAAGGAATCTATTTAAGTATATTGATTTATATTTGAACATAATGAAGAGCCAAAATAATATTCAAAAAGAGGGTAGATTTAACCTCAATCTTGTGTTGAGTTTGTTAAGAATGTAAAAGAATTTTGAGTTATTTCAAAGTAAAAATGTTATTAGTGTAATAATTAATAATTGAGAAATTTCAAAGAAATATTTTATTTATAGGGTTATTTTGGTTAAGTGATACAAAGCCTTATCAAAACTATTAAAATAGTTAAGAAAAGAATTCCAACTGACAAATCTGAGAATTTACTTTTTCTAAAAGGAGAAAGAAAAATGACTAACATTGATAGGCTTTAATTGAGGAGAAAGAAGCATTCTCCGAGTACATTTACACCATCTGCCAAATTTGTCTTTTTTTTTTCTTAATTGTTAACTTACAATATTTCCAGGACCAATCATCAACCCGGTGCTCCAGGAGTAATATCAAACAAATTGATGTAATGCGGTATGTACATTAAGGTGTTGACTTTTTGGTATCTTCAGTTTCCTTTATAAAAAATAAATGAACTTTGGTTTTTAAGTAACTGAAAAGTCATTGGTTTAATTAAATTTTGAAAAAGGTCACCCACCATGACATTTGAGATCCAGATTAACATTTAAGACACAGTTTAAGGTTTGAGACCAAGATTAAAATTTGAGACAGATTAACATATTTTTGAAAAGCCTTTATAAATATTTAGGATTTATTAAATGTTCGAGGGTCTTAAGGGACAAAAAATTTTTTGTATTTAGCATTTGCTATCAGTTTTTGTCAGGTACGCTTCTCTATCTTAAAGGTTACTTTTAAGATACGTGGTTTTATTTGTACTTAAAAAAAGTCGGTACTAAACAATATTTAACATGTTCAAGTATAACATAATGTAGAAGCCTTAGTGTATTTACAACAATATAATACTAGCCTGTGTTTTAGTACAATAAATGCAAATTTAAAAAAAAAATCTTAACAGAAAAGGAGCCATCCATAAAGTACATACGGGGGGAGGAGTTTCCCAAAAGCGTACAAACGCGTACTAGGGGAGTGAGGGGGTGTTAAAGACAGTGAGTACGTACGCGATTTGACTATCTCTCCTAAACTTGATTTTATTTTTTTTAAAACATAGAATTTCACGTCTGTAACAAATCAGAATTTTTTTTTTCTAACTTCAGTCCTAATTTTTTTAAAAATTTCTTTATAACTTAAGAGGAGAGAAAAAAGAAATCGGGTTTTGAAAATTTTGAAAAAAGATAATACATACATATGCGGAGGGGGGAGGGGGCTTTAAAATCGTACAGGTTCGTACAAGTGGGAGGGTCCTAAATAAGATGTTTTACTGCGTTCGTACTTTATGGATGCCCTCAAAGGAAATAAAATGAATTTAGAAAAATAACATCTTGAAATAATTATTTCTTTAGTCTAATACATTAATAATGACAAAATCTTCTATTTTTTAACACAAATATTGATAAAGCAGAGCTATATGAGTCCACTTCATTTCTTTAATGAATATTTCTTCAAAAATTAAAATAAAGCTAAATACTTACATAAATTACCACTTTTTTGATAGAAAGACGAAATCAACAAATTGATAAGTGCAATATGCAATGGTATAAAAATAACAGAAAAATAAGAATTGTTAACTCCATCTAATTTTCGACTTAACATCACCTAAAAAAATTTAACATTATTTTTGGATAAACATTTAAAACAAAAAATATTTCTTAGCAATAAACTTGAAACATTTTTTAAGCTGCAAGCAATTTTTTTTCTTCAGAAAAACAATTAAATTGATAGTTAAGATTAGTGCAATTAAAAACAAATCAACCAATTATAACATTGTTATGACAAAAATATTATGGTAATAAAAGTTTGTAGCAGCCTAACTGACTAGATATCAAAGTTTTTGTGTTTCAATGGTAAAAAGAAGTTTAAGGCATAATGTTGAAGCATAAATGTTGTTTAATTTATATTCATACACTATAAACATAAGACCTCTGATTAAAAATCAAAAACCTTTTTATTTTAATTCTTATTTATCATTTTAGGTACACTTAGCATAATTATAAATTAAAATAATTGAAAAAGACAACTAAGGTATAGACATTTAAGGTGTAGACAACTAAGGTGTAGACAACTAAGGTGTAGATAACTAAGATGTAGACAACTAAGGTATAGATAACTAAGGTGTAGATAACAAGGGTGTAGACAACTAAGGTGTAGACAACTAAGGTGTAGATAACTAAGGTGAAAAAAACTCTAAGTTATCTTTACCTTTAAAAATGTAAAGATAACTTAAATTAAAATTTACTAACACAAGAACAAATCAAAATAATTTTAAAATAAATAAAAAAATTAAGTGACTTAAAACCATGTCATATCAATGCATTCAAAATTAAAAGCTTAAATTAAAGAGTATAAATTTGGGCGTGATTTATGCATTATATGAATCATATAAAATCTAAAAGGGGACATGATATAATCAGAATGTTATTATATAATACAAGAAGATATATCTTCAAACCATTTTTTTAATAATTTTTGTTTTGTATTGCTACATTTTGCACTGTGGACCCAAAAGACTGCTAAGTTTTATGTTATGGCTCTCAAACCAAATCCATCTTATTTGAAAGTATTAACCATATTGTTAAAGAACAAATTCTCTCTGAAATTAAAATGTGTTGCTATTATACCATTTTTGATAAAACTTTATATTAAAATCGTCATAAAATGAAAAAAATTTAAAAATATTAATACTGAGAACCACTAACAGTTAGTTTCTTTAATACTGCGAACTACTAACAGTTAGTTTCTTTGATGATAATAATTTTATTTATTTTCTAAAATTTTTTATCAAAAAATAAAATTATATATATATATAATAATAATAATAATATTTACATAAATGTTTAAAACAAATTGAATTTATAACCTTTGCTCTTAATTATAGTAGCTAGCAAATAGGTTACACTCCAAAAACATTTTCTTTAAAATGATTTATTTAAATAGTTTTATAGGCAGAAAACGACTTACAAAGATTTATGCTATATAAGATTAATTTGTAACTTATTAAAAGTTTAAATTTTGTCTATTTTATAACCATGTGGGCAAAAACTAGATAAATAAAAGTTTTTTAAGCATGAAAAGACAAATACAGTAGAAGGTTGCAAATTTTCAGAATGATTCACCATGCAAGAGTTTTAGTTGATGGAACAAGCAACTCATTTGAGCAGTGAATGTGAAGAAAAAAGAAATGTTACAACATTGGGACAGAAGCAGGTCCAACAACATTTAAACAATTTTTTTAGACCTTGGATGGATGAGAGATTAACAGAAATAGTAAATAGAATCTCTTATTAAGACTCATAATGAGAATGGAATCAGGTTAAGAAAAAAGGCTGTCATGATAAAAAGAGAGATAGCCTTAGTAGAATGAATAGTAAATATGGTTTCCAGAAATTTACTTCAACAGCCATTAATTTAAATTTTTTAATATATTATTTATTCATTATTTTTTTATTTTGTATTTATTATTTTTGTGTAAAGCTATAAGTAAGCAACCTAAAATAATTTAATCATTAAATGGTAAAAAAAACAACAATAAATACAACAACCTTGGTTTAGACAAAAGAGTACTTCCTATTTCCTTAAAATAGTATGAACTTTTTAATTATTAAACCACCATGTAAAAAAATATAAACAGTTTGAAAGCTGCTGTATACCATACAGGAAATTCACTGATTTTCTTGTACTAAGTACATCATTCTATAATGTACCTGTTTAATACATAAAATATTTAAAAACCATAAAAGAACATTGGTTAACATAAAATATACTTAATATTAAAAACATAGAACTTTTTATTTCTATAAAATAATATGGAGTTTTTTATTATCAGTTAAACAGAAGTTTTAAAAAAAGGTTAAAAGCTGTTGTTATAGAGCAAATCCACTGCTTTTTTGTAAATTGTACATGTTTCATAAATAAAATAGTACACAAGTTACAAATTTCACCTCACTCAACATAAATTGACGGATATTATTCTTGTCTTAATTAGTATTTTTTAGGCAAATCAAAAATTAAACTATTTAAACATTTAAGTTTAAAAATAAATAAAAACATTTACCATAAATATTATGAGTGGTACAACCATAAACCATGTGACTATTGCATTAAAAACATGCGTTTTACGTTGTTGAGGTGCAATTTCTGGCGATCTCATAAACAGCAAAGCCCATATAATATAATAAAGTACACAGATAAACAATAAACAAAGTATAATCCACACAGGAACTAGTACAACCTAATAATTCAACAATAAATACATATCATAATAACATTTAACATATACTGTGTTGTAATATCTTGAATATTTCAACATGATCATGATTTGATCCATTATGCACACATTTTTAATAGTTTAATGTAGACGATTTAATACTGATATTTTATTTGAGACCAGTCAGTTACCTGGCAATACCACAACACTACTGTTATTTTATTTGAGACCTGTCAGTTACCTAGCAATACCATAACACTACTACAAATTAGATACATCTAATTATACTTGCGTTAATCTTTTTGTGTTAGCTGACGTATGACTCTTTATTCCTATCTATATTTGTCTATTAATAGTTTTGATTATTTTTTTCAAAATTTTATACTTTTGATTCAAAACTGAACAAAACTTTTCAGTTTTAATATTTTGAAAGCTAAAAATGTTTATTACAGATAAATATTTGCTTCAGTTATAACATTTCAAAGGCTAAAAAGGTTTATTAGTGATAAATTCATTTTCTCTTCTTTTCAACTCCCTACTAATGTTATGTACATGATGGATTCTTCAAAAAAAAAACTTTTTATATATATGTTTTTCATTTTTATATTTATAATTTATGTCTAATTTAAGCTAATTTTATACTAGCCTAAAAAAATTAGTAGAAAATCACTTAACAAATTTTTTTCATTTAACACATTTAACAATGTGTTTCATCAATAAAGACTCATCAGAAGTCTTTATTAATGAAACACAATGTTAAATGAAAAAAAAAATTTAGTGATTTTCTACTAAATTATAATTGCTCTGTTCTTTTAAAAACATTGAGCACTCTATTTTGTAGAGTACATTTTAAAATTATATCTATCTATCGATCTATTTATCTATATATATATATATATATATATATATATATATATATATATATATATATATATATATATATATATAAATATATATATAAATATATATATATATATATATATATATATATATATATATATATATATATATATATATATATATATATATATATATATATATATATATATATATATATATATATATATATAGTGATGTACCGATATTAATTTTTTGGCTGATGCGGATACTGATGGATGGGAAATGCTGATACCGATGAATTTACTAATTATTAAAAATTTGAAAATATAAAACCATAAAACTTTAAATTGGTACTGGTAAACAAATACTTGTACTCAAATCAAAGCCAAACAATTATTTTAAAAGATATTAGAAAAACTCAGTTAAAAAAATATACATTTTTATTTTTTTTCTACTTTGAAAAGAAAACTTTCAAAAAAATAAATACAACTTTAGAGAAATGCTTTTGATTTTAATTAAAAAAAAAGAAAATATGCATATGCAGTTTACTTAGAATTCTTTATCAATTTATTAGCAATTTAGATATCTAAACAACAATCATGTGCTGTTTAGACATAAATTATTTTTAGATAAATAAATTGTTTTAAGAATTATTTTAATTTGTGATGTTGGATCCCCACCATGTCCCTGGTAGTACAGCGCTTAACTTATTTCAACACACAGAGGCATTGTTCATCAAGGTTTGTGTTTTTGAGTTATAAAGTTAAAAGTGGGTTGTAACCATAACTAAAGTAGCCTTCTCAATTGAAGTGGCCTTTGTGGCTTTAGGGAGATGAATAGAAATAAAAAAATTATAAAATTTAGAAATATACTTGGTACTTGGCTATACTTAAATACATGAAATAAGGCTGAACTATTTGCAAAGAAATTCTCTTCTAATCCGATTCTTGAATCTTATGGCCATTCTCTTTCTTTCATTCTAATTAAACAAGTTAACCCATTGTTAGACATTTCAGCTTCCATTGCTCATAGTCATATCTCGATTGAAGCCTTTTATGGCTTGTGGTCCAGACAACATTCCTGTCACAGTCTTGTGGTCCAGACAACATTCCTGTCACAGTCTTGTGGTCCAGACAACATTCCTGTCACAGTCTTGTGGTCCAGACAACATTCCTGTCACAGTCTAACAAAACTGTTCTCTAGAGCTCTCTATTCTCAATTTTCTTTAAACTATTTAATAAGTGCTTAACTAAATATTGTTTTCCTGCCTGCTGGAAAACGGCATCTGTTGTTCTAATTTTTAAACACTCTGGTAAATTTATTGACCCCCCTGATTATTGTCCAATCAGTCTTCTTTCTGTTATTAGCAAGGTCTTTGAGTCTTTGATAAACAAATTTCTCACATTCCATCTTGAGTCAAATAACTTGCTGTCAGACAAATAACTATTGTAGTACTGTCGACATTCCTCTATTGATGAATGGCAACCCTCACACTGATTCTACTATTTTAAGTCTTCTTGAATTATTATTTACTACTGACTTTTCATGGAAACCATATATACAATTGATTGCTAAATTAGCATCTGCTAAAGTTGCTTCTTTTTATCGTGCTCACCATTTTCTCTCTCCTGATTCCATTCCCTACCTCTACAAACCTCTTATTTGTCCCTGTATGGAATACTGTTATCGTATTTGTTCTTCTAATGATGCTCTTTTTCTTCAAGATAAGGTTTAAAAATGCATTGTAAACAGAGTTGGACCTGGTCTATCTGCAAAGCTTGAGCCTCTTTCCCATTATCGTAAAGTTGCATATCTTTTTCTATTCTACAAATACTAACATGGTTGCTGCTCAAAGGAGCTTTCATCTTTAGTTCCATCAATCAAAACTCATTCTCACTTGACTTGTCATTTATCAAAGTCTCATTCTTTGACTGTATCTGTCTCTTCATGCTCCAAAAACTTTTATTTGTCTTTTATTATCCCATCTTCATGTTTTCCTGACTCATACAACCTTCAACTTTTTAAGTTTTCTGTCAACCATGTTGCTCTATATTTCTACTCTTTTTTTCTAGCAACTCCCATTTTGACAGTGGTTGCTTGAAGCCTTATTGGGAGTAAAAAAGAATTAAAAATATATAGATAACAATGCTTAACAGGTTACTTTTACAGCTTTTGCCTGTAAACAAAGTCAAAATAAAAATTTATCCAAAAAATTCTAAGTAATGCACAAAGTTTAGTTTATTTATTATTTAATTATTATAATAATGCAGGATAAAAATATTAATAAATAAAGGCCGATACCGATTCTTTATGTATATATATATGTATATATATATACATATATATATATATATATATATATATATATATATATATATATATATATATATATATATATATATATATATATATATATATATATGTATGTATATATATATATATATATATATATATATATATATATATATATATATATATATACATATATTTACATATATATATATATATATATATATATATATATATATATATATATATATATATATATATATATATATATATATATATATATATATATATATATATATATATATACATATATACATATATACATATATACATATATATAAATTTTTTGATATCTTAATAGAATTACAAACCCTAAAATCCTTTAGCATTTGTAGTTACTCTGCTACTAGTAGCAGAGTAACTAATTAATTTTTAATTAATTAGTTTTGTAATTAGTGCATATTTCTTTGGCAAAATATAAAAATATACTCTGTATTGTTTTTTTGTAATTTTGTATTTATACTTGGCTGCTATAAACTGAAACTGAGTTACATAAAACAATAAAAAGCAAAATATTGACTATTTGACAAGAATATGAGAGGGATTTTCAAGTCTCCCTCTGTTTAGATTATTGAGATAATCTTCATATTTATTATAAAACTTAGACAGATAATCTCCATATTTATAATAATAATTGATTGTATCATATATTTTTATTTTACTTTTTAAAATGAAAAACTGTTTTGAAAAAACAAAACTCAAATGCTTAAAACAAATCTTTTTGTTATTTGCCCTTATTATTATATTTATTAATCATTCTTTCAGTTATATTTCTCCAGATATAGTTTAAATGTATTTTTTCAGTTATTCTTGTAAAGATAAACATATAATGTCATTTTCTTATTAAATATGACATCAAAAAGTTGAAGTAGTTTATTACAACTAAATGTTGGTTCTGGTTGCAACCCAAGTGCTTATTTATTCTAACTCCCAAAAACACATCATTGAAAAAATGTGGATAAAATATTCGAAGTTATTTTTCTTAACATATAAATGCCTTTAAAACTTCAAACTTTATTTGAAAGAGATAATAATTATATTTCTTCAGATTAACTTTAAAAAATTTTTTTATAATAAAAATATTTTTTTTAAATGAATTGAATTGATTTGAAGATAGTATTCTTCAAAAAAATATTTTTAATAAAACAAAGCTTATTTATTTTTTCTCCAATAACAGAAATCAGGATACCATTTTTAAAGCATTTTCCTACATTTGCAATTTGACTATTGTTTTAAATTGTTTCTTTAAGTAAATAAAAGGTTTCTTTAGAAATTACTGAAGAGTTACCCCAAAACCATGGCACTACCGCTGTCTGCATTGTGAAAGTGGATAATAAAAAGTACAGGATACAAAAACAATATTAAATAATTTCAACAACAAAAAATTAATTTTAGGATAAAAAAGTTTTTATTATAAGATTGTTTCATAAAAAGCACAGTCAACTGCAGGCATAAAACATTAAAAAGCATTGACTCTATATCTTTAGTTTTTTTTATGCTTAGATGAATTAGTGATGTTAATAATGAGACACTAGAGATTAAGACAATTTCCTGAAAATGTATTTTTGCTTGATATGTCCTTTCTTTTTTCAAAATACTTACGCACATTTCTGGTTCAGTGACAGTCCTTGTATGCTACAAAATGCGGTATATTTGAATGAAATTTTAGTTGTTTGAAAAAAAAAAATCTTCAAAAAATTCATAATTTTTCAAAGTTAAAAAAATCTGATGATCTCATCTAAAGAATGTAGAGTTGGGGGCTTTCTTCTCAGCATTTTTAATACATGAATTAAGCTGATTGATTTATTTACTTCATTCTAATCTAAACTTTTTTTAATTAAGCTATGAGCATTATCAACTTCTTTATTGAAATTTTTTGTGTAACTGTCTTAATCTGTGTATTTTCTAGCATAAAACCTTTCAAAGCAAAAGCAAGTATTGAATTTCTATTTTGTAGTACACATGAGTCAGACCAAAGAATGATTTCTGTTACATTTGGATGTTCTAAAACTAATTGCCTTAAAACCTTTACAAATGCTGATACAATACAATTAGCAGTTCTACCACCAGTGTACTCAATCCATGCACAACAGTAAACTTTGTTATCTATTGAACTATGAACAGTGAGAGTAAAAAATTATAGTTTTCTTTTTAAAAAAAAATTGATATATTTGCTCTTGGAAGCTAAATAACATTTTCCATATCAAAACAAATAACAACTTTTCTAAATTCTCCGTCACTCTTCCTTTCTTAATAGGAATCTGTCTTTAAAAGAACATGACGCTGAAATTTCCCCATATTCATTTTATTCTCTTCACAGCAGTCACTTGGTCTGATTTTGGCCTTGAAAAACCTATATTAAATTCTGTATTAAACACTTCTCTATAGTTATGTTGCTTAACAAATTTAATTCCTTTTTTTTAGTTTATAAGTCATACATTAATGACAAATTCAATTTAATTTCAAACACTTGAGTAATGTTTAATAAGATTATATTAAATTTTACACAATTATTATTAAATTCTAAACAAATTTTTTATAAACTATTTAAAGATAAATTCATTAAGTACTATTTTGATAAATAAACAGAATAATTGCAGTTCGACTTTTTTTTTGATTTACAAAAAAAATACATTTTGTACAGTTTCGCTACCTACCATCTTGAAATTGTTATAAATTATAAAAAGCAAGCTGCCTGATTGGCTAGAATCTGGTAGAACAAATTAGCATTAAAAAATTTTTCTCAATTGGAAACTAGTTTTTTGTAAGGCTTTATTTGATTGGCTGTTTTGGAGTTAAAACATTTAAAAATAAAACAAGGTAAAAAATTGGAGTTAGAACAAATAAGTACTCAGGTTGCGTGGTGTTAACCTGTTTTGCAGATCAGGGGTATCTTTATTATAATACAGTGCTTTAATATTGTGCTGTATAATTAATATTGTGCTGTATGATTAAAACTGTGCGGTATAATTAATACTGTGCTGTATGATTAAAACTGTGCGGTATAATTAATACTGTGTTGTATGATTAAAACTGTGCGGTATAATTAATACTGTGCTGTATGATTAAAACTGTGCGGTATAATTAATACTGTACTGTATGATTAAAACTGTGCTGTATAATTAATACTGTGCTCTATGATTAAAACTGTGCGGTATAATTAATACTGTGCTGTATGATTAATACTGTGCTGTATAATTAATACTGTGCTCTATGATTAATACTGTGCTCTATGATAATTACTGTGCTGTAAGAATAATACTGTGTTGTATGATTAACACTGCGCTATATGTTTAATACTGTACTGTATGATTAGGTGAGAATTTTTTTTCTATTTACCAATTATAATAGAAACTAAACAAAAATCAAACACAGTCAAAACATAAGCTATGCGTAACACAGTCAAAACATAAGCTATAATTTCTTCATACCTGTTATATATAACAGGTATGAAGAAATTAGATAAACATAAATTTTTGTTTATTAACGATTTAATGTTTATTAAAAGTATGAAATGAACAATTTGAAAATTAATTGTTCAAAAACTAATAGTTTGCAACAAACGATTGTTACTTTTACAATCAAAAATTAAGAAGAGATAAATTGCAGTCTATTGCAATTTTGTTATAATCAATAAACAAAGTGGCACTTACCAACCAAGTCCAACTTACAACTTCATCCCATTTAAGTGATATGCAAACAAATTGCAATGTATTTACAGCAAAGAAAGTCTCAAACTAAAATAGAAATAACATAATAAAACTAATAAAAAATTTACAAATTTTATTTAAAAAATAACAACAAATTAACAAACAAATTATTAAAAAGTAAAGAAATTTTTACAAATTAGAAAAGTCAACAAATACTGAATTTACTGGCAATGTAAGAAAAGTCAGCTTTTAAAAATAGTTGCATATATTCAATCACAACTATAGATAATATATTCAAATTATCATAAATTATTCAAATTATTAAATTATTAAAGTTATACAGACTAATAACAAAAAAAAAAATTTCGCAAGCAAACAATACTTTTTTGTATATTTTGATTTTAAATGTGCAACCCATTTTTCATCATCACATCAAGTTGTAGAATATTTGGGTTCAAATCTTTAGCATTTTGATTAAAAACCCTTAACACGATTAGAAATAACATTTTTAAAGAGGGAAAAATAAAAAGGGAAAAGAAAAAATCAATAATAATAATAAAAAAAAAACTTAAACATTGGAAAAAGATCGTAAAAGATTTGAATAGTTCAGATAATGATATTGCATAATTTTAGATGCACAAAAAAAGCAATATTGTTATCAACAAGTATCTAGTACCAAGTTATCAATATTTTTTTGCTAAACTGTCATATAAAAATAAAATACCTCCAATTGGCGCTCATGCCTGAACCCCCAAACACACCCAGCCAACGCAAAAGTTGATATACAAAAAAGTGGAATAAACACAATTCGATAAGCTATTGCATGATACTCCATGTTTGTACATAAAAGAATCTCAAACAGCAACAAAAGCAAGTGCAAACTTGCAGATATTAGCATAGCTTGAATATCCACAGTGCTTTCATGCCTAATATTTTTAATGTATAATTTATAATTAACGAATATAACAATATAAATTTTATTTATATAGTAATCTATATAACTATTAAAATGCTAAATAAAGAAATTTATTTTTTGAAGCAAAATAAAAAAAGTTATGAGGCTTGAAAATTATTTAAACATCATTTGTTATATGTAAAAAAAAAAAGAAAATTTTTTTCTTTCCCCCTTATAATTAGGAAAAATAAACAATTTTATTTTAAAAGTTCAATCTTAATAACAATTGATTAAAGTATTAAGATTTTAATTTTCGACTGTTGATTTATATCTAAAGTGGAACTCTTATTTAAATTAAATATTTTAGTCTTGAACTAATTCTAATTATTCAAGGTAAATCTGTGTGTTGTGGTAAATCTGTGTGTTGTGGTAAATCTGTGTGTTGTGGTAAATTAAAAGGTTTACAAGCTTAAAATTTTAAATCCTCCTTTGAAAAATTGACTTAAATTTTTTATTATTTCATTTGTACATAATTAAAACTAATTAAAAGTATATTTTTAAGTATAATGTTTTATTGTTAAACTTAAAACACATTATTATGGATAATTAAACTTTCCTTAAAAATGATTCAAAAACATATCATGTTAAATGTTATCGGTAAAAAAAAAAAGAAATAAAAGAACTTGGAGGGGAAAAAAAAAAGAATATGGTTTTTATTTTTCAATTTTTAATTTATTTAAACATAATTTGTCTAAATAAATATTATTTTAAATATTTATTTAAATATTTATTTTAAATATTTATTTAAAAAAATGTATAATAAATATAAGTGCTCTAAATATTGTACTTTAATGCCTATTTTTAAGTAATTTTTAATATTGAATTTTATATTAAAGATGGATGAACCACAAACACAAGAAATATCAAGGAGATCAAGAAAAAGCATTGCCTTTAAGTGTTAAAAACCTGTTGCAAATATTAGAATGGAGTCTTACTAATTCAAAATAACCAAATAATGTTACAACATTTTTTAACAATGTTATGTTGTTAACTAAGAAATAGAATTTTCTGTTTAGATGTAACTAGACGTATTTTTGATTACAAGTTATTTATCAATAGAATTTTTAAAAAGTTAACTTTGCTCCTGTATATGGTGAAATTGTTTTTGTTGTTGGCATATTTGCATCAAAAAATTATCATTAGGTATGTTAAAAAAAAAAAGTGCAGTTTAAAAAAAATTATGAATGATTTATTTTTAATTCAATAATTAAACTTCAACAATAAATGCACTACCAATGTCTATGAACTCCTTGAAACATTCAACAGGTTTTACTTAAAGAAGTGATTAGAGTCCTGTCAAAGTTTTTCTTGATGTTGATTCTTTATTGCACAAGCTATTGAGTAAAAATCAAAACAACTAATAATATTTTGGCACTAAGTGAGGCAAGTAGGAAGAATGAGGCAACACTTTCCAGTCAAGCCTAAATATTTTTGTCCACATTAATGTGAGGATAGGTGTTGTCATGAAAAAAGTTAACTTTTTTGTGCTTTAGGCATTTTTTTAAGATTTCTCAACAATAAATGCACTACCAATGTCTATGAACTCCTTGAAACATTCAACAGGTTTTACTTAAAGAAGTGATTAGAGTCCTGTCAAAGTTTTTCTTGATGTTGATTCTTTATTGCACAAGCTATTGAGTAAAAATCAAAACAACTAATAATATTTTGGCACTAAGTGAGGCAAGTAGGAAGAATGAGGCAACACTTTCCAGTCAAGCCTAAATATTTTTGTCCACATTAATGTGAGGATAGGTGTTGTCATGAAAAAAGTTAACTTTTTTGTGCTTTAGGCATTTTTTTAAGATTTCTGCTTGGCTGAGTTAAGCATAGTAAGTTGTTGCCATAATTGTGGAGATGAACAGAAACAGTTCTTAATACAATTTGGTAAACTCTGTTATGAATGAGTAAGTTCTAGTTTTTACTGAACATTCAAATGTTGTTTTTTTTTATCAAAACATACTTGAGCCAATTTTTTCAAATCGAACCTGAAGAAGATAGCAATGTGCTTAATTTAGATATTTCTGAAATAGAATAATAATAATAAACTTGTCTCAACTGGGAAATATGGGCACTAAGTAATTATCTTTAAGTTATTTTGCATAAACAATTTGAGAATAAAATTGTTTTTTTATAAAAAGATGGTTACGAAGGCCTTAATAAACTTCTTTCTCAATAAATCAGATTAGTACTTCTCTCTCAATAAATCAGATTGGTACAACTACTTAACCTAAATGTTGTATCCAAATGCTTAAAACTCATTTACAAGTGGAGGTCTAGCAACAACAAAGGAGTAATTTCCATAGATAAATAATTTTATGGAAGTTACTCTTTTACCTCCATGGATAAATTTCAAAAATAAGTGAAAAAGAAAAAAAATACCTTTAATTTATATGCAGGAACTCCAAGTTTCAAAACCTAACCGAGTTCCAAGAGTATAAACAATGCACAAGATCATCAACAAATGTGCCAAACATAATTCTCATGATTACAAGTGAAAACTTCCTAAGAACTCAAAAAAACAAAAAACAAATACAAAGTCATTATATGCATATATAAACAGTAAAACTAAAACTAAAGATTCAATCAAAGTTCTTTACTGCAACAATATTCGCAGCCACAACTTTAGCAAAAACAGCAACAGTAAAACTAAAGATTCAATCAAAGCTTTTTACAGCAACAATATTTGCAGCAACAACTTTAGTAGAAACAACAACAGTAAAACTAAAACTAAAGATTCAATCACAGGCTTTCACAAGAAGTCAAGAAAACGTGCACGCCATTAAATGACCAAGCAAATAATATTTTGCTTTGACAATTTCACCGTGGCTTTTTTAAAAACATGCTGAATGAAAAAGATTCTGAATTATATCTTAGAGAAAAAATTGATATTGAAACTTTTTTCTTTACTGATTTTATATTAACAAAATGCATTTAAATAAAGTAACAGCTTACTGATAATGATTTTTGTTTAAAGAAAGTTGTATATAAGTTTTTTAACTTATATAAATTATTTATATATGCATTTTTTATAATAAACATTATTAAAAAATAATTTTTTTATTTTATTAAACAACAACATTCTTAGACAACAAAAGTCTCTTTAATAAACTTTATATTAAAATCCTTTAAAGTTAATACACTTTAAAAGACTAAAAAAAGTTAAATAAAAGATGACAAATGTTTTTGAAAACTGTTGCAATTAAATAAGTTTGATCTTTAATGCTTTTATATTATTGAAATACTTTTTAATTAGGGTTTCCGAAAAACCGCATTTATAAAAAAAAAACTGCAGTTAACCATGGTTTTCGATTTTTCTTGTTAAATAATAAAACTCACGCAAGTTTATCTTGCATTGTTTATTTAAAAAGCTATTTGAATAATGTATTCTAACATTATGTTTATATTTTGAAATAAATCTTATAATGACTTAATTTTATCGTAAAATTTTTTTAAGAAAACTAAAGATTTTAACAATTCATCAGATAATCTGATTTTTGTGCAGAAACTAGTGCAGCTTGAAAAAATGAGTTCATCATCTGTTGATATGGGTTTTATAGAGAGAATTGCACCGTAAATTTTATAGAGATTTTATCTTTATAAAGAAGTGCGTTTAATTCATACTAAAAAAAAAATAGATGAACTTTCCAATGTTGTACATGCTTCAGCTAGTTAAAACAGTTCCTCATCATGAGAAGTAAATCCAAAAAGTCTGTTTTCCAGCAGTATAAAAGTTTAATGGAACAACTGATAGACCTTTTAGGGACTCTAACAACTGCATAACATTTTCATTAATTGTTTCATTGACTCGCTTTTTTAAAATTTGAATGCAATAAAGATGCAATTTCTGTATTCATAGCAAATAGTTTTGCAAGCATAAATTTAAGAACAGTATCTGCAGTCAATAATGTTGCATCTTCTCTACTAAGGAATTCCACTGGTAGTTTTGCTGGCTCTAAAGCCACATGTAATGTAGCTAATGACTCAAAATCTAGCTTGTTACATCAAGAGCATTTAATTCAGTGAATGTTTGTAATAAACATTTCTTAGTATTAAACAAAGAGGCAGTCATAAAAAAAATGAACTTCAACGATTACGAGCATCCAGATTTAGTTTGATTTCCTTACCAAATTCCTCAGTAATTTTTTCTGAAAAATTTGATTACCAACTGATGACATTTTTATGAACTTTACTACTTTTCATGCATTCATCAAAATTTCAGGGTAGGCAGCATCTCATTGTTTGCTGATTCAAAACTAAAAATATCATCATAAATTCCATGTTCTTCTGAATCACTGATTCCTTGGGTATGTTTTCTTGCTACATTTGTGTTTTTATTTTTTCTTATATAACGTGTCACATACGCCAAGATGAACTGCATGATTAAAGCAAAAATGATCAACAATGTCTGTTTATTGCATGAGCTTTTTGTTGATTGCTGCACCATCTTGAGTAGAACCTACTACATCACTTTTCATACAGACACTAAATGAATTCAAATGATCCTTAATATTTTGTATTAAACTTTTAGCTAGACAAGAACCATAGATCCTAATGAGGCTAGTTTTATAGGTTTTTTTACATTTGCTTTAATGCAGGTTGACAACAATGTGCCTTCTGTGCCTCAAAGATGTGTATTTACCATGCTTTAACCTATGTTGATGTCACATTTGAACTTATTCTATAATTTCTTGTTTCACCACTTTCTTTTTATTAGAAAAATCTTGATGAATTAAATTCATCACATTTGTTGGACTTTTAGGAAGAGGATTTGCTCTTTGTTGAATCATTGAGCAAATAAATTTGTTGTTAGTAATCGTATTAATTGAAACACCATCTGAAGCTAGATCAGCTACAATTTCTTTAAGGCTCGTTTTTTATATATAACTGTCCATGGTTTTAATTTTTTTTTCTTTTGGTAGTGGATTTGAGCTTCTGTTTGATTCGTCAAATGACTATTGATAGTAATTCCAT